GCCCGACGTCGGCCCGGCCTGCCCCTGCGCGTCGAGCAGTTTCGGGACCATCGGCTCGAGCGGGACTGGGTCGAGCTGCGGCCAGTCGTCGCGCCATTCCGGGAGCGCCGGGCCCGTCGGCCAGGTCGCGGCCGTTGGCGTGCCGAGCACCTTGTAGATCCGGTAGAGCTGGTCCGGGCCGGTGCTGCCGGCAAACAGCGGGCGGCCCGTCGCCATTTCTAGGCGTCGAGTCGAGCGTGGTGAACGAGAGATCAAAGATCAACCCAGGTAAGGCGCACATACCGGCAAAGATGCACCCGGCACTCCAGATATCAATCGACGTCGAGTACTGCCGCGACCCCATGAGCACGTCGGGCGCGCGGTACCACAGCGTCACGACCTCGCTCGAGTAATGCCGCACCGGGATCCCAAACGCGCGCGCCAGGCCGAAATCACCGAGTTTCAGGTCACATTTCTTGGTGATGAGCAGATTTTGCGGTTTCAAGTCCTGGAACGTGATATTGTGTCAGCAGATGAAGTGACGAACGTGGAGAACTTGGAGAGAGAACGTACGCGGTGCAGCACGCGATGCTCGTGACAAAACGCAATGCCGCGCAGGAGCTGGAACATGAATTGCTGTGGGTTGGCGAGCAAGGAACAGGATCAGACGTCGTTATTCGCGACTGGCAGCCGTTGAGAGCACAGCGTACCTGAATGATGCTGGGATCGACGTCGCCCGAGCACGCGTCCATATACTTTTTCAGGTCCGAGTCCATAAACTCAAAGACCAGTGTCAACTTCTTGTCGGTGTGCACAACGTCGTAGAGCCGCACAATGTTGGGGTGGTGCAGTTCCTTGAGCAGCGAGATTTCGCGAATGGCCGTGCACGGCACGCCCTACGTTTGACGGAATCAATCGCGGGTTGAGGTTGGAGCAGCGTCGCAATACCGGAGTCGGAGCGCACCTCTTCCTCATTGTCGAGGCGAATCTACGTCGCAATGGCACCGTGAGTGATGAGGTCTCATGCGCATGGAGCAGTGGCCACCGTGGCGGCCAACGTACGCGCTTGAGCGCAACAATGTCGCCCGTCTCACGGTTCTGCGCCTTATAGACGATACCGTAGGTGCCTAGTCAAGGGCGCACACCGGTTTGCCATCAGTTACGGCCCCGTTGGAGCATGGCGACCAGGAGAGCAACCGTACCTTCCCCCAGTTTCTCGATTTTCTGCATGCGGCGGACAGCATCCGACCGACGGGGTAACGAAATGGTGTGCACCGGAAATTGACAGGCGTAAACGTCAGTGGTCGTGATCGGGGAGAGAGTGCCGTGATGGCGGTGGGTCGGCTGGGAGTCGCGTCGCGGTCCAACCAAGGTGTTGCGGGCACCTCCAGTCTCTGGCGACACGGCATATCGGTGTCGACCAAATAGGGCATATCATCGGCAAACTAAACTGACCTGGTACTTGTCCATGTCGGTGGCGCAGTGGCACTGGCTGGCGCGGTGAACTGGATTGGGGTCGGGGGGGCGGAAACGATTCCTTATGGCGGCGACCGTGAACAGCGAAGAAAAGCAACGGCTTGCAGCAGGCCGGCGGGCTGCAGCAAGTTGTCAGCGCGGCTGCGGAGATTTCGATCTCGTTGGAGGAGTCGACACGGGCAGATGGTCCGACCGGGCGAAAGCGCCAAAAGGAGCGAACATGCAGGTTCTGGGACCGCAGACAACACCGAAAGGTGAGGGTGCTGGGGAAGGGAAAAAGTGTGAAGGGAACGGGGTTTCGAACCCGCGGCCTCCCGAAGGAGACTGGGGCCTAAAAACCAGGGGCCTTAGACCGGTTCGGCCCACTTTCACGTTCCCTTCCAGGAATGCGCCCTTGGAACCCCCCTTTAAGCCGCCATTTTCCATGATACTTTCTGCCGAACCCTTTGGCCCTATGGGGGCGGGGGGCCCGTCCGCCCTCCGGCCATGGCCAGGCGGACAACGTCGAAACAGGGTGGCCAACCGCTTTTCCCCGAAGCCGTTAAGCCCATTCGGGGAACGGTTTCCGCCCGCCACCGA